TAGACATAAATATATATAATATATTATTATATAAATAATATATGTAATATATTGTTATATAAAAAGTTATATAATTTTTTTTTTCGAGCCATTTCGAGCCGAACACGAGCGAACAAACTGTTGTTCGTTTTCGCCTCGTTTATATTTCGAGCTTAAAAATTTGTTCGTGTTCGGCTCGTTAGGCTTAACGAACGAGTCGAACATGAGCTGCTTAACGAGCCAAACACGAGTTGTTCACGAACAACGAGCTAAATTGACAGCCCTATTCTCAACCCATTAACCGCAAAAAACTTCTCCACACGATAAACTCAACCGTAGGCATCCTTCAAAGACCAGCATTTTCAATTTCCTTATGTGTGAGTCTCCTCCTGAATTCCCTTGCATGACACAGTGGTGAGTTTCTTTTCTCCGACCCATATTGATTTCCCTTCTTCCATAGGTCTGGGGCACCTCATAATCAGCTCGCCTGTCCCCATAAGCTCCATAATCTTCTTCTGCCTTAAGTGAGAGCCACTAGTGTTTTTGGATGTAGCCCTCTATCAGAGTCCCACCTACCATAGTTTCTAGTTCGAGATCAAAATACTTCAAATTGATGCTCTCATTCTGGAATCGCCCACCGCCACATTCTATCTACTACCTCTCGCTCCAGTCGTCTGAATGTCATCTCATTCTTTCCAATTACTGACGCCCGAGTCCACTTCACATTCACTCACCCGATCTCACAACTCTAGATCTACATGAGGTAGGATGTCACACGAATTCTTCTGATTTTTGTCGCTCGCATCTGTTCCAGACGCCGTCGCTAAATCCAGCTATAGGTGGTAGAGGGATTCCACATCTTTTTTATCATTTCTTCTAAGGTTGTGAACCTCCCCTCCATGGCCAAGAAACGCTCCTCTATACCTAATTCGATTAACTAACCTCTTTCACTAATTTATTCTTCCAAAACATCCACCTTTCTGGCTATCATTAGTCCCTACACAATTTAGGAAATTATTTACTCTGAAATCACAAGGTTCAAAATTTATGAATGCGAGTTAAGCCTCTGCGAAACTCTGACGTTATGATCCCAAAATTCTTGTAGGCAGTTCGTTGGAACAATTAGAAGTCGTGTGGAACTCTGTAGCCGCAATCCGAATTCATGTATGTCACAGATCCCAATCACGAGTTTCTATCACTAGCGATGCGGAACTCCTTTACGCCGCAATCCTAATCCCCAGATTCAATCAAGAGCGGAATTTTTATATTCCACTATGCCTCGACTTTCCTACGGTCTGTACCCCGCGATCGCACTGTTAGCTTGTGAACCAGAAAATAAATCCCCACGTTTGTGTTCCAAATAGTTCTTCCCATGATAGTGTTGGAGGTCGTCTTGAATGATATACCTTCGTCGTTTTCCCAGCTAGTGCAAATAGACTGTTTCGTAAAGACAGCGCAGAAGATGAAAGATAGTGTTTTGGTCCTCTATATGATGCAACCCAGTCAGTGCATTCCCAACAAGCTTTGATTGTGACTATCAGGAGGGGGGGGAGATGGTCATTTCAGGTCTTTGTACGTTGCAATCTCTTCGTTGCCTTCTCTGCCAAAAAAAAAAAAAAAATCGGGTCTCTATAAGCCACGATCCTGTCGTTGCCTTCTCCACATGCTCTTATTGTGACTGTATCACAAGGTTCGGTGTCAAATGCTATACACTCCTGTATTGAGCAATCTAGTTGATATCCTGAGAATCAAAAGTTCTAAAACCAATTTGATAGAAAACTCCACTGATTTTTATACATAAATTAGGACAAAATAAATTTCTCTTTTTTAATAATCCAAAACAACATGAATACAAAGATAAGAACCTACAATTCAAAAGGTAGGCGATCTCCTCAAATTCCTACAATTTTGAGGGGTAGGAAATCTCTCCCCAACCCTAACCTAGAACTCCATACAACAAGAGCAAGCATAACCCTAGTCCTAAGCATATTAGTCCTATTTATATTAAACAATAATAAATAATAATAAACTAAATTGCCCTTAGGCTAGATACAGACATAATACACCCGTCACAATGACTCCCATTGGAACAACATTGCCACCAATGTCTTTACCACCCCTTGCAAGGCCATCACCCTTCATCCTCAAAAGCTTGTTACCACTCTTTTCTCTTCAATCACAATTTTATTCCACTCACAACTACCCTTTGTATTGTCTACCACAAGCCATTACCCCATTGCCACAATGCAAAACCTTGCCACTTCTTACCCCAAATCCCAAACACACTACTTCACAACACCACTTACATCAAAGAAATTTGGAATAAGTTAAAAAAGTAAATAAATAAATATCGTGGACCCTACGCAAAGATGATACATAAAAATTGAGAAATAGTCCAGAGTGTTCATTTACACATCCATCTCCACTCCACTCAATGAACCCTTGTTGTGTGCTTCTCTGCTCAGCCACATGTCCACGCACATGGTCTCCTCTTGCTCAGGAGAGCCAGCTCATCAGTTTCCACCAAGATCCATCTTGGCATCATACTGCTCAACCATGCATCTCTGTCAAACTTCGTAATCACATGTGGTATGCTTCTCTCAACTCATGTATCAACACCTCATGCCATCCAGCTCTTCTCACACTCGTCAAGGAGTAAAGATGTTTTTAATTCCCCCTGCACTTAAGGCATTGTGCTGCCTTCTCAATTTGCTTTCCCGCCTTCTATGGATTTCTGCGCTTCATCTAGCCTTAGATATAATGCTTGTTACCTTTCTTTGACTCTTGATGGTTCTACAGCTGCCATTGCCTTTGTTTTGAATCCTTCTCCCATGTTAACGGTTTCTCGATGGATCTCACCTTCTCTTTCTCCCGCAGTGGTTTGGCACTGATCTAGGATGTCTAGACGGTATGAGAAAATCAAAGGGTGAATTAGGAGAGTTGCAGAATGAGAAACAAATGGGGAAATGATGACGGCTGCTGAAATTCTGGCATATCCAACAGCTGGACAGCAGGCTAAAAGCAAAAACAGCAGGTCGACAGCAAGATTTGCTGGCACAGAAGATTTTCGGGTGTCCGGGAGAGCTCACCACCTAGATCCAATTAAATTACAGGCACACCATCTGAGAGTGAACAAATGATGCATTAAGCCTTCCGGCAAAGGAAAACTAGAGAAAGCAATCTCTAGTGCTTAAACCAGATCCAAAAAAAAAAAAAAATTCAACCCAGATTTAACAATATATTTATATGTAGGAAACAAAATACCTTAATAATAGCATAAATAAAGAGGTAAATACGCCCTATAAAAGACCGTCCAGATCCGAAGAATAAGAATTCCTTGAACTGGCCTGGGCACAACCAGTCAGAACCAATTCTCTGCAAAATTCCTTCTCCCATCCTGTAAGGGGGAGGACGTCCATGTCATGGCTGCTCTTAGGGCTTGAAGAACCCCAATTAGGTTGCCACCTTCTCTCTTGATGGCTCCTTCACGAAGACTCCTCCCGCTTCCTTTCCAAGGAAACCTGTGCCTCTAGCTGCCGAACCCCCTCACTTCTTTACAAATATTGTTGGTGGGCTGAATGATTCGCCAATTCATTCCTCCGCTTCAAATAAACATTTCCCTCTAATTTTTTCATCAATATTGAATATCAACTCCTCGTAAAAATCCAACCACTTATCAAGACAAACTTGCACTCATGTCAGTGAAGAGATCTAAGAAATTATTAGACGTCTATGCATTTTCTATTATTATCAAATTGTGATTGAGTTGCCCAAAAATATAGATTATTCACAAACTTTTATTGGATTTCTATTTGGTTGGCGATCATTTTTGTTGATTTTATTAACTCTAGTTGTGTTATTATCATCTTTAAAAACAAGTACACCGAACTTTCTCTCGACCGTAGTACTAAATCAGTAATTTCCCAATATGCATGCTAAAATGATCACCTCATTTTGACATCTCCAAGTGACCATTAATCACTCCAGTCTAGCTTGCATTCCCTTGACTTCATTTATTTTCAACAAATACAATTTATACTCCTTGGGTTCTATATTTGACAAATCATTGGTAGCAGATAATATTTTTAACCATCTTTTGTTGCCGTAGTCCTAGTTGAACTAAAGTTACTTTTTAGTTAGAAAATGAGGTGTGAATTAACACAACTTATGAACATTGGCAGAGGGTTAAATTTACATGAATTCTAACATATTAGTCAACATAAAAATATTTGAGCATTAATTTTTTTGAGCACTTCAACACACAAGAATTACAATCAACAGATCAAATCCAACTATTTACTACTTTGGAGACATCTCATACATTATATTAGAACCACATTAAGAAATTGGAACCATTTTTATTTAATTTCCTTAAAGATTAGAGGCTCTTGTGACTGCACCTGCTCGCCTTATTATGGTGGTTTCATCGACACCTAAAAGCATCATCATTGATCTTGATTCACCTATTAATGCAACACCTCTTGATTCACCTATTATTGCAACACCTCGTCTCTCGGGCTCTCACTAATTTGTGAGCACATCAATGATCATGATGCTCTGCAGCTTGATGATTTAGATGAGGCACGTAGAGTTGACTTTGGTGAGTAAGTGGTTTTAAATTCTATTTACCAAACGTATATGTGTATGTACATATATATAGATTGTCACTCCCCTATTTTCACAAAGCCCCAAGCAAAGATCCAAATGCACCATTTTATAACTTTCATAGTTGTAAGGATTTAGCATCATGGACTTTCATTATATCTGCGTTTTGTTTTGTTTGCTTTTTTGTCTGGCAATCCTTACTAATTGCGCGCGCGCACACAAATACACAAATTAACAATTTTTGGCATATAGTAGTCCTGTTACCTTCTTGGCCCGTCACGTAGTTGGTGAATTTACTCCAGAATTACTAACTTCGCCATTTGAAAACAGAAATGCAATATGCACGAGAAATAGCAATAACGCAGAAAACTTCAAACTTTCAGCCAAGTTGTTGACAAAGCTAAGCAGAAGGATACCTTGGGTTGTGAGAAGGCCAACCTTTTTATTTTTGAGAAATGCTTTGATGAACCACCTTCAACAACGTAAGAAGCCAGAGTGAAAGGAGCCCCAACAAAGCCTAATACAGCAGCTTTGCCTTTTACCTGAATCAGGTAAGACATTGGTTTCTAACAAATAACATCAACACATGTCAAACAGTATCGACAAGATTAAATACACGAAGGAAGTAACATTAGAGGTTAAAAAAAAAGGCATTTACATAAATACCACCTAATTCCTATGTTTTTACATCTCTTAACGCCTAACTTTACTTTCTAAATTTATGAAGCCCAAATCTTTCATGTCACATCAAAAATACCACCATTTTAACTTTTAAAAAGAAAAATACACCTTTCCATGCATAGGTGAGATGACATGTAAGTAAAAATTGAAGTTTAAGGGTTAGATATTTAAATACATAGGAATTGAGTGGTATTTATGTAAATTTTCCACCTTCAAGGACATAAAAATGTTACGAGGTTTCATGTTCCTTTCTGGCAACCAGGTGATGTAACATTCAAAAGACCAGAATATACAATTGCATCATTAATCGTCTGTCAGCCAATCAAAAATTTTTTGCTGTTAATGATGGACAAAACAATCCCAAAGTTTGTTTGGTTTATCTCATTTTTAAACATAAAAACACAAAATACAATGCATGCAAGAACACATCAAACACACACCTACATGGGCGTGTAAGACACTCGATTAGAGTATATGCTCAAAACAGCGTCAATCACTATTACAAGGAAGTTGTCAAACTGGAAAGCTGATCATCAGAAGTAATATTAAATAATGCTAAAAAGCAAACTACCATTTTGCTAAGTTTTAATATAATGAAGTAATTACATAATTTACAGACAATATATGGTTGCATTATAAAAATTGTAATTCGAAAATGTATGACACAAGTCTAATGGTGTTTTTTGATATTCCAAGAATAAGTTTTTTTTTCAGAATTTGAGTAGCGAGAGTCTAACATAGCATGATTAATCCGCTTATTTGACTGTAATCACTTTAATGAATTTGATAAATGAAGAGAAACCGTATGCAAAGTAGAAAGACAAGGAAGTGGAGGGCAGAAAAATTTATAGCGTCAATCAAATAGCTTCATCATTTTGAACGAGAACTTAACAGCATATTTAGAGTATCAGAGTACTTTTATTCAAGAATTTCAACGTCTATGACTTGACAAACTTCAATAAGTTGGGAACATTACGCAAGTAAGGAAAGAAGCCAAGAAATTTAAAAAAAAAAAAGAACAGAAAAAGCAAAAGCACATGGCATAAAAGTTTTCCATTTAGGTAACAAAAATAAGACAGAAAGGAAAATACTCATCTCGTCAAATAGATTCAAATTTAAATTGGTGCTTAGAAAGCAGCTTATATAATATCTGATGTGACTTATTAGTAAGCAAATTAGGTTTGATTCTTATTCAACAGGCAAACCTCTAATCTTAAACAAAATCAAGAATAAAAAAAACTTCAACAAATTTTAGGCATTTAACACAAAAGTAAGCTCTTCCACCCAATTATTAGGAACTTCAACTAAATACACTATTTTAGATAAAATATTAATTATGGGCAAAACACATAAAATAGGGGTAAAAAATATTTCTTTAGTATGCATACCACGTAGAGCTGCACGAAGGATGAACACAGATGGGTATTGATTTGCTCATTTAAAAATGTGACTTTTCCCACAAAAGCATCTCAAATGGTACATATTTAAATGTGGATCTTGTTAATGTATTTAGTGTCAAGTATTTAGCAGGCATTAAATAAACTAAAAAAAAAGAGATTATGGTACAAAATATTTTCATAAAAGGATCGAAGTGACGATCTTTTTCCCATACATCATCCTATTTGCTGTCTACTGTTATTTGACAGCAGAAAACTCCATTTTCCGCTTCTGATTCTGTCATCCAGCCGTTCACACCGGACTTCAACCTAAATCCGTCTAGAGCTGCATGAAGGATGAACACAGATGGGTATTGATTTGCTCATTTAAAAATGTGACTTTTCCCACAAAAGCATCTCAAATGGTACATATTTAAATGTGGATCATGTTAATGTATTTAGTGTCAAGTATTTAGTAGGCATTAAATAAACTAAAAAAAAAAGAGATTATGGTACAAAATATTTTCATAAAAGGATCGAAGTGACGATCTTTTTCCAGACATCATCCTATTTGCTGTCTACTGTTATTTGACAGCAGAAAACTCCATTTTCCGCTTCTAATTCTGTCATCCAGCCGTTCACTCCGGATTTCAACCTAAATCCGTCCTCCCGCTTTCCTTACCTATCAAACAACTTACCTACCACTTTTTTGTGCTCCTTCACACCTCCTAGGATTCCTAGAGAAGTATCATCTAGTATCAAAGCCCTATAAACCCTAATATTTTAGGGATTTGTCCTTTCTATGCCTAAAACAAGAATCTATACAACCTAACCTAACACCCACACCAAGAAAAAAAAAAATTCTAACATATCCACTTAGCCCTAGCGTAAACCTAACCCTTTACCTAATCAATATCTTTCTATTCTGTCAAAACTTTTATTGGAAGAACGAAACGTCATGCCGCCAAGGAGAATCATATGTGTTCAAGAGCTCACTATGGAGGACATGCAAAGGGAAATCCTCCAACTACAACACCTTTAAGAGGAGACAATCCAGTGAAGTCACCCATAGCCACAATGGTGAGTCATCAAATCGAGAGGAGAAAATAAGTGTCTTCCACCAGGCAATTTTCTAGAGATAAAGAACCGATATCCTATCGATATGACATGAATTATCAAAGAAGTCAGGATTTTGAAGTGAAAATTGACTTGTCGGAATTTGATTGTTGCATGAATCAAGATTAGTTTATTGAGTGGCTCCAAACAACGGAACGGGACTTTGAATACAAGGATATTCCACTTGACAAAATGGTAAAGCTAGTCGTCATTAAGTTAAAAAAGAGTTCATCTCTATAGTGAAAAAATTTAAAACGCCTACACCAGCAATAGAGAAAAATTAAAATCACAACCCAGTCCAAGATGGAAAAGGAGATGCAGCACAAGTGCCTCCCAACACATTACAGACATGACATGTTATTAAGATTTCAAAAATTACAATAGCAAGATCTCTCAGTGGAGAAGCAGACAATTGAATTCGAGTAACTAGGTTTAATTGTGAGCTAGTGGAGCCCGAGGAGAATATCATAACTCGATATCTGAGGGGATTGAGACCATCTATTGACAATATGGCACAGTTGCAACCACATTATATATTACAGAATGTACATACCCTACTTTTGAAGTTGAAGAGATAATACAGTAGTATCAGATCCACACTAATCTTCAAACAGAATTAATTCATCGAATCAGGCAACAAGAGTACCCCTAGTAAAGCACTCAAGCCGACCCAGCCAGAAGAGAAATCAATACAGAGGGAAGAAAAGATAGAGATCTATGATACTCTCAAATTTATCCCAGCCAGGAAGTACTTCAAATGTCATGATTTTAGGCACACTGCATTAGATTGCTCAAACAAGAGAATTATGGATGTAAAATTGAATTCTAAGGTCGGGTTCAAGTATAAACTGAAATTGACCCGCCCAAAACTGTTTGACCCAAACTAGACACTAATATTAAACGGTTAAGTTGAACTCAAACCTCATAGCCCATTTAATATAAGGGATAAGAGCTATAAGGATCAAAATTAGGCAAAAATTGAGTCGATTTTAAGTCATTATCAAATTTATTTCAAGTAGGTGGGTCAAATTCGAGTAAATTTCACGTTAGCAGGTCATTTTTGGAGTTGGAAGGTCAACCCAAATCCAAACTAAAAAATTAAAGAGGTAAGAATCCAAACCCGAACCTGACCCAAAAATTATTCGAGTCAACTGGAACCTGAATATATTGAGTTGGGTTCGTGTTGAGTTGGCGCGTCAGGTCAATTTTTGACATCCCTAAAGAGAAGAACATCTTACATTAAGCAATGTATAATGGAGGAGACAGAGAGTTAAGAGAGTTAAGCACCACAGGAGAAAGAAGAGGAGTACCAGCTCTCCGCATATAAGGGAAAAATACTAGTGTTGTAAGTTGAGCCCATGAAAGAGACTCCAACATAGACATTAGTTGTCCTAAAAGAAATGAGTCTAAAAAGCCAATACTAGAAAATGGATAGACCTTGTTGAAGGAGTTGTCAGAAGTTGTGACTGACAGTTTATCTCTTAGATGCTACCACTGAGGGAGATTTAGCGTGTCATATATTTCATTTCATGATTAGTTCCTCCAAACAGATTTGTTTATCGGACGGCCTTGCCGAGTACAAAGAGTGAGAAAAACATGTTTCAAGTTAATGGCTCAACACTTTGTTCATAAGAATACTCATCTATATATAATTTCAGCTTTAGTTGTGCCAAAAAAAATAGTTATTTATTCTATTAGACCAGACTCTGGAAGAACGTATGTGTTATAGAATTGATTGTAATTGACGTGAAAGATTTTGCAATGAACCTAAGACACAACAAGGTAATGACTTTATTATAGTTGCAGTAGATCGATTCCAAAGGTTTTCAAGGAAGAAGAAGAAGCCTCTCTTAGCTCAGGAGAATGATACGAGGGTTGGTTGGTTCCGCAAAGCTGCAAAATCTCTCGATTCAATGGGATCGCGAGAAGGTCCCGTGATGACAGAATGGGAGGGGGAGTTTCAATTCACGTTTCGACAAATTATTTAATTATTTTCCTTTTATTTTTATTTCTTTTTATGGGTTTTCCTATTTTGTTATTTCTAATTAGGATTCTTGCTATTATGGACCTATTCATATGTGGCTTTTTGTTGTTTATGATACTTTTAGTCGTATTTATGTTATTTAGAGATATTTTCTCAAGATTTTTCCTACTGGAGTGTCGGATCTTTGAATTTCTTTCAGATGGTGTGTTTGTAATCTTATAGGATCAAAGTAGTGATCTCTCCCGGACGTTCGAAGGCCTCCATCACCCAATTTGCTACCTATTGTTGTTTGAAAACAGAAAAAAATAATTGTTTTCCACTTCCGATTTGCTATTACATTGTTCACGCCTGCTTTGAGCCGACATCTGCCTCCCGCTTTTCTTTACCTATCCAACAACTTAACTTTCCCCTAGAACAGTATCACTAGGACAACCTAAATATTTCTTTAAGATTAAATTAAGCGAGAAAAAAAAAATTATTTCAAAAGAAAAAAAAAAAAGCCAATAACCTCCTTGAAAAAAAGGGGGCCTACTTAATTTCAAGCCTATTAAAAAACCTTTCGATACTCAAAACTACAATTGATGATTTAATGCATCTCTTCATGATTCATCTCAACATCACAAGTTAGTAGGTGAGCTTGTTTATCTAAATGTTACGAGACTCAACATATCTTTCTACATTGAACTGGTAAGTTAGCAAATGCAAAATTGAAAGAAGAAACATTAGGAAGCTATTCTAAACATCCTCAAATATACAAAAAAACCTTCTAAAAAGATATGCTTTATAAAAAAAACTAATCATTTGAAAGTTGAAACATTCCAAAATATTGATTATGCTAGCTTTATCAAAGACAAGGATCAACCAATAAATATTGCATCTTTGTTGAAGGAATCTTGGTTGCCTAGAATAGCAAGAAATAGCCGATTGTTGCAAAACCTAGTGTTGATGTAAAATACATAAGGCTCATTTGCATTTGAAATAATGTAGGAAAAAAAAACACTTTCAGAAGAATTGTTTCTTTGTTACGCAGACTGACTTTATTGCAAAAATTACATCGCCATCCATATTGCTAGCAATCATATTATCTATGAATACATCAAATAAATTGAGGTAGATAGTCATTTCATATAAGAAATTGTCCATTTCAAGAAAATTGTTACTCCTCATATCTCCTGTTCTAAACAAGTGCATAGATTTTTATCAAGGCAGTGGAAAACCTATTTTTTTCTTGTTTAAGAAACAAACTATAGCTCACAGACATAAATATTTCAGCTTGAAGGTGGAGGTGACATTGTTAGTGTTGGAGTATTTAGTAGATGTTTAAGAAACGCCTAGAAATGGAAAGATATTATGGTAGAAAATATCCTCATAATTGAGGATATAATTTTAATTAGTTATTGCTCTATTGTAATCACGTATATTCTTATTCATAGGCCCTCTTAAAAGTCAATAAGCCATATAATGATTTTGTTTTTCCTCTCAAAAACTACCAACAAACCTAATTCAGGAATAGGGCATAACTGATAAGATGCTTTACCTCCTCCCTTAAAATTGACAATGCTTCCCCTACATAGGGAACTGATTCTTCTGGAACAAACTCCTTTACTCCGGCAACATCATTAGCTGTTCTTAGTGGATCGTGTATGACCGGACCTTTTCCTTTGAGAATGTCAAATGGAATGTTCATGCCTGGCAAGGGCGTTAGGATGTCTGAGAACAATATAACCTGCAATACCAGGTAGAACAGGGTTTAAGAAACAGTAAAAGAACATAAACAAACGAGAAGTTAAGGTAATACGGAAAACCATTTCCCACAAAATGAAATAAGTATTATTGCTGTCAGCCTTAGTTTTACGAAAATTTGCATACTTAGCGCACAATTCTTATGCGTTTTACATATTTGATGCTTAAACATTCATATTTACATACATAGCACATTGGTGCTTTAAACCTATGCATGAGTGTATTTCACTTTTAAAAGTGGTAATAGTGTTATCTTTTATGTGTTATGTAACATTTGCTTATATAAGTATTGTGGGTTATGCATGTAAAAGCTCAAACACAAATATGAAAGTAAGAATGAGATGGTTCATGGTCTGAGTCATTGACATTTATTGATCACTACAGTGCAATCAAAAGATATTTGAGTTTGAAGTGTTGAAGGACACATATGCCACTGACGAAGATTTTCAAGAGATTTGGGTTAAGCTTGAGTGAGTGTAGGGCTTGTTAATGTTCGACTTGTTTTTTTTTTCTTTTTTTTTTTTTTTTTTGAAATAAACTCGTGTTCAAAATGTTTCATTAATAAGATGTTCATGTTGGGCTCAATTCAAATTTGTTTGTTCATTTCAACTCGTGTTAGGCTTCAATTTACAATGAATGATTTAAGAAATAAAAAACAACATTTTTAAAATACAACATTAAAATCAATATAAAGAGTTATAATAAATATTTTTCTTTACTTATTTAATTAATTCGAATCAAAATGAGTCAAACATGATTGAACAAATGTTTAGTCGTGTTCGGATCGTTTATAAATCAAACTCGAAAAAAATTGTTTGTGTTTAACTCGTTTGATTAACAAACAAATATCACTTATGCTACTTAATAAGCTGAACACGAGTTATTCGTGAATGATGAGCATTCTTGACAACCCTAATTGTCAAGATAAAGTGCAGGAGCAATTCCACAAATCATATAGAGATTTGTTTTATTATAACATATTGTTCATTCCTCGGAGTATACTCAAGAAATTAAACTTGTGAGAGTGCCATAACTATATGATGATAGGATTTTTTGGTAGTGACAACTCTTTCCTTAGTGAAAGAAAACTTTTAACCAAGAATGACACAAGATGTGGAGAGGCACGTCAGGCAGTGCAAAGTTTGTCACTTGCCAAAACCTGAAAGCAAAACATGGAACTCTAAAATCTACTTTCCATTCTCGAGTCTTGTGGGTGGATATGAGTATGGACTTCGTTGTGGTGTAATAATAATCAATTAAAAAAAATTAATTAACCTTAAGAAAATGAAAATGAATTTATTTTATCTGTTACGACACCTACGAAACAAGTGCCGTTTCAAAGGCATCATTCGATCGTTTCGCCAACTGCCCCTAGGAGAAAAGTTGAGGCTATCATCTCTTTTCCCCTCCCATTCAAACTCGTAAGAGGAGTCGAAAGTGATAGAGAGAGAACGAGAAAGAGCTATAGAGAGATGGAAATCCAGGAAGCGTGCGAAATAGAGGAAAAAGAAAAAAGGGGAAGGATGATATGAACTGCTCACCTGCGATCATGTGCTTCGATTTTCAAGATCAAACCGAAGGGAAAAATGCTCGAGTGGCTCTGTCGAGTGTCACGAGCAGCACAGAAAAGGAGGAAGAAGAAAAGGAAGCTTGATTGGGTACCTTGAAGGCTCGAATGGCTCACCCAAGTTCTCTGTTTCATGTCGTCAACAATCTTTCAGTTGTGTAAAGCCTTCTGTGATTGAGTCGAAGGCGACAACGTGTGTTGAGCTGACGAAGAGGAAAAAGTTCTCGTGCTGCTGGTTTGAAGTTCGATCGAGAGCTTATGCAGGGGGGAGGGGGGTTCGACCGAGCCTCTGTTGCTCAGTTCGAACTTTCTAGGGAAAGGCAACGGCTTTATAAAAAAAGGTAATAAATTAAATTATTTAAGTTATTAATTATAATTATTTAAAATGAAATTTGAGAAACTTATTATGTTGAATTGATTTCAATGTTTGTTAACAATTGTTTAAGGTAATTGATGAAAAGGCTACATCAGGAAAAGAGGGCTTTGTTGTGGAAAAGAAATTCAGGCATGATGATTAATTTTAATAACTAAATGTTATATTCCTAATATATTAGTGTTAAGCTAAATTAAAACTTTAAGAACACTAAAACTTAAGTTTAAAGCATAATAAAGTTGTTCTTAAATGAAACATAGCAAAAGGAAATTATGAAGTCCCTCTAAAATAGAATTATGAAGGTCAATTGATGAAATATGGATATCTTAATGTAGGATATAACTAATATCATTTAACTTGCAATTATAAGTGCACCTAAGGACTGGTTTCATCAGAGAAAAAGAATAGCGAATGACACTATATAGGTGGATAAAAATTTTTATTTTACAATAGTATGTCATTTACACATGTTTTTACTATTGTTCAATGTTTCTTTTAAAATACAAAAATACAAGTTTTTCTTTTATAAGTTAAATGCAAGAGAAAGATTAAAAAAATGATATATGCATGCATATGAGAGTCAGTCCCAGTTGGTACTTGCAGGGGATTACAATGTACTCGTGTATAAAAATGAAAATGAAAATGAAACTAGTTGTTTGCCTTTATGATGGATTGGAAAATGATAAAAATATATTTTTATAAAGTATATATTTAGATGATGACTCCCAATAATGAAAAGTAAAATAAAAATAAATGAAAGCAAATAAAATGGGTTTCTTTATTATTCTCTTTTATTGCGATTTTTTACTTTTTACTGCATCTTTATAAAATATTTTAACATAAGATTTATTGAAATTTAAAACAATTTGCCCACCGAGTTATTTTAACTCAAATTTTAGTTGCTAACATTTTATGGGAAAACCAATTGTAGATTTGATAGATCCCTGAGAGTACGTTTACACGCGAAATAGAGCGAAGACCGATAGGTATTGTGTTATAGTTTTTATTTCGTCATTTGTAAATATTTAGAAATATGTACGAACTTATTGTAACTATAAATTGTATGAAATAGAATGGCTCTTTTTTTTATTTGGTTTTTCAAAAATGTAAGATAATTTTACTCCGTCGAACCAACAGTTACCGCCTTGGTAATTTCAAGTTCTCAGGTCGAGTCATGACAAGAGGGGTATCAGAGCCCAGTTAAGGGCAGCAGAAAGTGATCATGAAAGAGTCATTAGAAAAATCATTAATAATTATTAAGGCAATTAAATAGTAAGTATAATGTTTATGTTAATAATTGTAAACTTCTGTTATCTCAGGGCAATTGATTCCGATCTAGAAAATATAGATGGAAATAATGGAGAAGTTAGAGGTGATGATCATCAAGAACCAGTGCCTCCAACACGTATTGATTCTTCATCTAGTGGTGCTAACATCCCCATCGAAACTTTTATTCAGACAATGACCGCAGTTACACAACTTATTCAAAGTTCTCAGAACCAGGCCAATGGTTGTGGAACAACATTGATGGATAAATATGAAGTTGTTCCACGGCATGCGGTCACCACTATTTTTAAGAGCAGAAGAGCTAGTTGAGATAGAGTACTGGTTGTTGATGGTAGAGAAAATCATTGATAGTTTGTCCTCTCTTAATGAGAGAAGGGTTACATTGGTTACTTTTGCTTTCGAGAAGAAAACAAAGAGGTAGTAGCAAGGACAACATCAGGATTGGAAGGATTTTGTGAGGACTTTTCGTGATTGGTTTGTTCTCCTTTCTGCCAAGAGGCAGATGCAGGACGGTTCATCATGATCATGCAGGTCGACCATTCCATTATACAGTCCGAGATTGAGTTCACGATGTTGTCCAGGTATGCACCTCAATTAGTCCCCAGTGTCGAGGAAAAGTGTCATCGTTTTTTATATATTTAAGGATGTCATCTGACAGCTTTTAATCTCTCTTAGAGTTAAGGATTACTTAGTCCTTGTGAAGAGGGTGAGGAGAATAGAGATTGACTTACTGGCTACGAAAAGACGTAGATATTTTAAGAAGATAAGATGAGATGATAGGTCCAAATTGGGACAAGCCACCCAGTCTGTGAAGTCTAGGCATGAAGAAGCCTCAACCCAACAGCGGTGGTATTAGTAGTAGCACTGACAGTAACAGCAGTAGAACCACCTGTGCCAAGTGTGAAGGGCCACAAAGAAGAGAATGTTTGTCAGGCACCAACACCTATTTTTAGTTCCATCAGCCTGGACACGTCGCGAGGTTGTGCACTACCTTAGGCCAGAGGCCCCAAGTTGATGTCAGAGTTAGTGCTCCACCTACTCAGAGGAACTTCGATAGACAAAAACCAGCTAAGTAGTCACGATCAACTTCATCTCCGAGTCAGACCCAAAAGGGTGTACAGCCAGGAGTATATGCACCAATTTGACAGGAAGCAAAGGATCACCTGACGAGATTACAGATATTTCCTTATTTCAATAGATCTGTCAAATCTTTATTTATATTGCGAGAATTTATATTCTCCTTATTAAAAGTATTATATCTATTCAAAACAAACTGGTCAGAACGTTATTTGATAATGGGGCATCACAATTGTTTATCTCGGAAGAATTTGTGAAATATGAAGGATTGGAATCATTCAGAATGTATGATGCCTTACCAATTCTTCTGATTAATGGGCCTCACATGATTGTTTATAGACGCAGTTGTGTGAATCAAATCATCTATAAAAGAAGCTTCAAGGAAAATTTGGTAGTTCTACCACTAACCGAGTTCGAAGTGATCCTAGAAATGGATTGACTATCTAATTAATTCACAACTATTGATTTCTCTAAAAAAATAATCAAATTCAATATCCCTAGAGAAGAAAAATTCTAGTTTGAGGAAGATAGGGGAGTCCTGTTTATGATGATATCCAGTTTAAAGGCAAGCAAATCATTAGCAAAAAGGTGTCAAAGCTTTTAGCTCAAATCATAGATATTGCGAAGGAATCAAAGAAGTTGAAGACATATTGGCCGTAAAAAAGAATCCATAAGTATT